CACACACACACACACACACACACACACACAGGCCAACCTGCTCTGTAGCAGTGTAAGGGCCCCACGCTAACCAGGAGGCTGTGCTAAGGCATAGAGGCAAGGCTGAGGGAAGACAGGGAAGAAAGGGTGTGCTTGAGAAGAATCTTTAAATCCTGTCATGGAGGGGGGGGAAAAAAAGAGGGCTGGGGAGATAGCTCAGCTGCTTAAATGCCTGCCTGGCAAGCACAAGGTCCTGAGTTCAATCCCCGCTACCGCAAAAAGAAAAAAGATAAAAATAAAAATCCTGCCATGAGCATCTTAGGGGCTAATCTCTTCTTCAAACACAAACAGTCACCACCACCACCACTACCACCAGCAACAGCAGGTCATTGGCCTCTACCCACAGGTGGAGACTCCTGCCTCTATTCCCTTCTTTCATTCCTGATCCCAAATAGTCCCTGCTTCCAAACCCATGCACAAAAAAGCTCTGACCATCACAAGAAAAAGCAAAGCTGGAAACACTTGCTGTCTTAAGATGATGGGATAATGGACACTATAAAACTGATTTAAAGTAAAAACAAAAACATCTTACCCTGTGTGCAGAGACTTTCCTACTTAGCCTTCTCTTTCCCAGGCCTGGCCACCTTGAAAAAGGCTGAGCAGGCACAGCCAGATGGCTCACAGAAAGGAGAAAGCTGAAAGACTTGGTCCTCCCCTAGTCCTGTTCAGCTCACAGACCCTCCCAGCCTGGCCTTCTCTGCCCCAAAGGAGCTGGATCAGCCTAACCACTGAGCAATTCCCCCTCCCTAAGTGGGGACAGGAAGCAACGCTGATTTACCTAATCTAAGGAGCCTTCCAGCAATTATTTCATGAGAAAGTCAATTGCCAACAGGCGTGCATGTAGCATGTGTATGTGAGTGTGTGTGTGTGTTCCAAGTAGCCATCTGGACAGAGTGAGACAAACCACTCCCTGCATTCTTTCTCCGGGTGGAATCTTTGATAGACTTTAGGAGCCAGTGTTATAGCAGTTCTTGCCTGGCCATGCTCAAAGCCCCTGCAGATCTGAGCACAGGAGCTTGGAGTTCAGAAAATCTGGCCTCAGCCAGGGAAGCCCACTCAGCTTCCCTTGCAGGATCCAATTACAAAAAAGAAAGATTTGGGAGGGCCTGGACAGGTCAGTTCTTGGTCAGCTGTTGTGTGTCAGGGCAAGTACCTCTACTAGCAGCACAGACACAGGGTCGTGGGTGAACAAGGAGTTCAGCATTTTCTCCTGTCCTCCAGGAGAATTCAGCTTTGTCTTTAGGGCATAACAGGGAGCAGGAGGTGACCAATTGTACAGGTCTCCAATCTGTAACCTCAGGTGAGTTATCTGGTCCTCCCTGGGCCACCCTGATAATACCTAAGGGAGACATTTGGGACAGGACAGGATTTCTTCTGGGGGCCTACCAAGGGCAAAGATTGAGGCTTACTGTGAGTTCTAGGAAGGCAGATAGTACAAGATTCAAACCATTCCACTTGGCTTCTTTCTCTCAGTAGTCAGACACTGACTGAGTCAGTAGCTGACGCTGAGCCTAGGAGAAGAAAGAATCAGGAGAGTGAGGCCAGGGTCAAAAGGGGAGGGAGGGAGAGGGGAATTCTGGGATGGGAAGGGGTGGAATGGCACCACCCTATGGGCTACCTCCAAGTTGGAGCTGTATAGCTCTGCCCCACCCCCCAGGGCCCTCCTCCAGTCTCCTCTAGCTCTGCTCCTGCCGGGGAGGTGAGGGAGGTGAGGGCTGATGGGCCTGGCTGAACTCCCTCCACATTCACCAGCCCTGATGTCAGCAAGCAAGTGGAGGCAGACCTCCCACCAAGCCGGCGGCTCTGGTGCCTGTCCTTCCAACTCCCCCTCACCTGGCTAGGACCTGGCTGCCACCCTCAGGTCCATGGCTCGGTTCTGGTTCTAGGCTCTAAGAAGGATGTGGATCAAACTGGCCAAGTGCCCCTGCCAGTCACCTCACAAAATCAAACCTCTGCCAGGCACAAAACCACAAAGTTGGAAAGGTTAGTCATGGGCCTGACATAGGGAAACTGAAGTCCATAGCGGACAGGACCAGCCCAAGGCCACTCACTCCACAGGGCATGCAGAGACAGGATTGAAACCCAGGACTCTGCCCCAGCTTATGGCACCTCTTTTGCCCACACAACAGTCCCAGCTCTCCAGTCACAGCAGCAGTCAGATCTGCCAGTTCTAAGCAGTTTCTCCTCTTCCCCAGCAGAGCTGAAAGCCCAGCTCAGCTCCCTGCTCCTCAGAGCCCCCACAGCTCACAAGCCTCCTTAACGTACCTACTCTATGACTTATTGTATGAATGGTAGAGGCTGGGAGGGAGGCTCCTAGCACCACTCCTCCACCTCCTCCACCCTGGATCCACATGTGTGGGTCACATAAGCACACCCGCATGGGCCTCCATGCCATCCGCAGAAGGGGCTGTCTAGCCCAGCCATGAGTCTCCCCAACACCTGGCGTGGAAACTGACTTAAGTATTCCAAAAGTAGTGGGTGATGGGTTGTCCTGGAAGAGGACTCAGTAGTGAGCCAAGGGGACCCCAGGACTGGGCGGACTGTGAGAGATACAGGAGGAGAGAGGCGAGGATGGCTCTGAAGTTCTGTCTTGGGAATATTAGGATACCACTCACTCAAATGAGTCATAGAGAAGGTACATTAGGAGGATTTGTGAGCTGTGGGGGCTCACAGGCAACTGCTGATTTACCGGTGATCCCTCCAAGCCTTGCTGCTAGGAAAGACTCAGATTGGAGGGACATGGGCCAGGGAAGATGTATGATCTGTCAGGTCCTGACTGACCCTGCCACACTCTCCATGGAGGGCTCAGTTTGCTGGGGCAGCTGGCAGGACTGACAGGCAGGCTTCACAGCTGCGCAGATCTGTACAATCAGCTGTACCCCGCTCCTCATGGTCTACAGCTGCATCCACCCAAAGGGACCTGTCAGCAAGCTTTCAGAAGAAAGCACACTTCACCAGCCCTGGCAAGCATTACCATCCCCAGCTTCTCCTCCCAAATCCTGAAATCCAGCCTCTGGCCCTGGAAACCATCGCCTCCTCAGAGATCCATGGGGTGGGGATACAGGGCTTAGAGTTATCTTTTCCTGCCAGGTTTCTGGCTTCAGGAGCAAAGGGAGACAAGAAGGGAGGTAGAAGAGGTGGTGGAAGCTGCACAGGAGCTATTCTGGGAGGCTCCAGAGTGGACACATTCTAAAGTCTCCAAGTCTCATCTCCATCTAAGACCCAGGAGGGGGATCCATGGGTCTCTGTGCTCCACCCCCAGCTCTGCCTGCTTAACATAGAGTCACAGGAGCTTGGAGCCCTAAGAGAGTCAGGAAGAGATTCCTGACCCCAGGAGGAGACAGCTATTACCTCCACCAGACACTCCTTCAAACACCATTCCTTCTTTCCGGTGGATACTCTACCTGACACTTGCGTACATTTTTAATGTTCCTCTTTTCCCTGTGTATCGGAGGGGTGTCCCCCTCAAGTCCCATCATACTTGTGCATGCATGTGGGGGGGGCAGAAGAAAGAAATAGGAGTTAAGAAGTCTACATCTCAAAATTAGAGAAAAAGGAGGGCCGCATGGAAAGCCAACATTTTGGCCCTAGCCTTCCAAGGTCAATTAAGACTCAGGACATATGAGAACTTGTACTGTAATGTCATGTAACTCAGTAGTGTCCCAAATTTTCTGATCAAGGAGATTATGGGGCCAAAGAGGAAAGTGATCGATGATGTAGAGTGTGCCTAAGGAGAGTCACATGGAGAGAAAACATTCTCTCAGGCTTTCACAGAGAGCACATCGGCCAAGCAATGGCCGTGACTCATCCACATGGCTGCACTGACAAAGGTTCTACATTCTGAGGTACAGGATCTCAGGATAAATCCTGAGGGGATTTGACTGACCTTATCAGACCCAAAAGCTACAACTCTTGTTGCATAGGTCCTGCTTTACCTTGGTCTTAACCATCCAGCAGAAAAGTATAAAAATGAAGTATAAAAAGTAAAGCCATGCTGTTATGTTGAGCTGTGGGGGACTCAGGTCAACAATTTCTGACATTGCCAGTGAAGCGGAAGACCCAATACCATTATGGACTACTGGACTCTTTTAGAATATTTTGCTGAGTTCACACACCTATAATATTCAATTGACGGAACTAAACCAAAAAAGGGTATACAGATAAATGTCCATTTTGTATCTGTGTATTCAAAGTGGTTAGGATAGATATATAGTTACATTCTCTTAATGAATAGAGGGATTTGTTCTAAT